TTCTCTCCGTGCGGTGATAACATTTGGCAAAATGTTTTCGGGACACCTTATATAATTTCTAACGAAACGATAACAGAATACAAAAATTATTTACGTACTCTGCTATCTTTTCTCCAAGCTCTTCGCGCGACGGACCCTCGAGATTTGGACACGAAACCTTAATTTGAATCAGACTCGGGATTGCGGGAACGTTCTATACAGGTTACGCGTAGTCGATCTTGATTGGTAAACGCGTGCATTGTTGAGTTAATGAAACGTTTTGTTCTAAATACGGGGCGTTGTATAATGAAATCGCTCTGTAGCAAAGCGCGTCCAACTCGTGACGTAAACCGACGGCTTTCGTTCCGTGATCCTCGCGCGTGCAACAGCGCGAACCTATATAAGCTGTGACTGTTTATCGAAACGTCACGTACAGACGACCTATCAAAACCAGAAGCGCGTTGCTTAAGCTCGCTCCCTCTTCTTTCTGTTTCGTAACTCTTTTACGTTTCGGCTACGGAAACATATTAAACACACGCGGTTTATTTGCGCGGGATATTTTTGGCGGATTTTCCGAGAATCGCAAAGAGCAATCAACCCCGACCACTCGAGCCGGATTTTATGAAATCCGCACACAAAATTGCACCGATAATGTAAAATGCCGAAAGCTCGCTTTATATTAATTGCGCGATAAACAATATCTCGCTGCTTCTCGTTTCGATCCTTTGGAAACTTTCCCCGCGGAAGTTGACTTTTTGAGTCGAGGCAATCTTTTTCCCGGAGGGTGCGATATGGTTAACCGTGATTGCAAAATTGAGCGCGATCACTGCCGAAAGATTTCAAGTGCGTTGTTTGTCGTTTCGACAAAGCGGTCTTGTCGCTCGTGGTTTTTTTTTGTTAACTATGATGCGATATATTTGTTTCACAGGCGGATGGTTACGAAACCAATCAACGCAACCCGCCCGAATGGAAGGGCAAGTGCACAAAGGGCCGAGTGTCCGAAAAAAAATTTCGCAATCCTCGAAAAAGACGATGTAAAATTGACAGTTGTGCCCGCAATTTCTCCCGGAACGTTTTATTTTTTACGCGATGTAGCATTATGCGTTTTTCTATCGTAACTTGTCTCTTTCATCTTCATGAGAAAATCATTCGTTTTAATTAGACAACATGCCGAGACATCGAGAAAACAATACGCTTCCGTGAAAACAAATATATTATTAATTACTTATCGATTATCTGTACACGGCGTGTAATTTTCGTTAAATTCAGTTTCGAAATTGCTTTTCAGTAGCTCTCTTGTGTCGTTTAAGTTACGTACAAATTTCTCTTGACGACGCTGGTTTTACGGATTAATTGAACGAGCGCCTACATAGCTTCTGTCTAGAAGATTTACGACCGCACAATATTCCTTGACATGATAAGGAAGCAGTTTTAAAGGTGAAGTTTCCTCGCAAACATCTCCGTGAAATTAACCCTTGGATGATGCTGTACACATATTTACTAATTTCGGAAATGCACTCAGATATCATTTCAAATGATACAGCGCAAAGAGATAACGTTCATACCGCACATACACGCACGCAGTATTAAAACTTTACGCGGTAAAACTTGGCGCACTCACAGATCTGCGTTTAATTACTTTAACAGGATGGGACAACTTTACTGTTTTCAATCTCGCAATAGGATAAAAGAAATTTAAATATTCGCACGCGTTTGTCGGCAAGATAATCCAATGTTAAACAGCTAATCCCGCTAATTGTTAAAAGCGTCATTAATTATAAGTATAGCTCGGCCAATTCCCCGGCACGACTACTTTGACGAAATTAAATTAATATAATCTTATGAGTGTGCTTTGTTGAAGCATTTCCGCAAAATCAATTTCGCAACAAAATAAAATTGCACGGCGCATTGTCGATATAACGCAAACTTCATCAATCAAAATTGTTCCAGTCCTCGAAAATAAATGTAAGAAGTAATATCGCAAAAGGAGGGTCGACTAATTAACCCTAATTATTAACGCGAGTTATTATTGTACGCGGGCGATTTTGTTGAAATTATGTTAGCGCGCAACGTATAAAGTAACGTTCGAATCACATTGAATTACACCGCTGTGTATAAAACAATGTGGAACTCTCCGATTCAAAAGATATTGCTATCAAGGTTTCATATTTTCTACCAAACTTTAAATTTAATTTATTTAACAAAAGCCCCACTAAATTGGTTTCGTGGCAAGTTAATTCATTCGAGTATAATACGAATCCGCATGTTTTTGCGATAATATCGCGTTTATCGAAAAATTGGGATGTAAACTCCGATTACAAACCGGTAACGAATCCCGATTTATTTTATTCCCGGCCGTTTTGACGTTTATCCGCGTTTAATGTATGTACAATCGAGTGCATTTAATGGTGTCTGGCGCGTCCGCATTCACGAAGGATATTTCGCGACATTGATTTTTTTTCCCCTGCACCGGTCACTGCGAACGTGATGTTAAACCAAATAACAGTAGCGAAACAAAGAGATGTAATTTTTACAAGATATATCACGGAGAAATTTGATAACTTTGCCGAGAAATCTGACCGTGAGCGGCGCCGGGCATTACGCGCGTAAAGATCGCGCACACGCGAATCATTTATGCCAATGGGATATTTGCCGAAAGTTCATTTTCACCGGATATCACATTCCGCGCCCGCTTTTGCGACGGGGAACCGACAACTGTCATACTAACGAGTCGCGAAACGATCGCGCGGTCGTGCGCCCGGCGGTGCCCGTGCGAGTCTTTCATTTTTAATTAGGTTACTCAAACTAATTAATTCTCGGGCGGGAGCGAGAGAACAGAGGGGCCCTCGTTAACAGAGACGACGCGACACAGGGAAATTAACAGTGGAAAAAGTTATTGACGGACGGCGGCACGACGGTAATTTATAATATGCGTAAATGGACGCGGCGCGCGCGAAATACTTTCCCTGTCTCTCCTTCTCTTTCGCTTTTATCGCGCGATGTCTCTCTTTTTTTCATTTTTTTCCCGCCCCCCTATTCGCGGAGCGATTGATTAGTTTCGTTCTCAGTTCTCACGCACGACACATTCGCCTCTTTGCCTGGTACGTAGCATGGCGTTCTAATGATGGACGCGTCGCTATTTGTTCGCAGCCACCGCAGATTAGAGCCAGACGTATTAATTTTGCATCGAGGTACGACACCGTTTACCCCCAGCAGATCCCGGCGGTCGCGGTGGCGGATCGCGTTTCGTATCACGAATTACAGCGACCCTTTTTCCGGAGGCTAATATCAAAACTTTTTTTCACGTCGCAAATTATTTGTCGCTTCTCGTCCAAGAATCTCCTCCCCCGGATATTATGTTGCGAAAAGAAAAAAAAAATATGGATGAAAGTTCTTACTGAAAAGAAAATTTATTAACGTGTTTCGTGAAACGAAACACGCTCAACGTTTTGCGACAATGTTGTCGCGTCTCCTACCCCGTCTCGAGATATTGCATTACGGGCATTCTGAATGCGAGATAATAACAACGTAAACGCGCAGGGGAAAAATTTCGCTTTAATGTAAATTTATATAAAGGAAAGCAAGGGGCATGTGAAAGAGAGCGACGTGAAGTCATTATTATGGATCTTGGAGAGACAAAGTCGTGTAACAAAGGAAGGTTAATTAAAGTTGCGAGCGCGGAGTGGCATAGGAGAGTAAATCGGAGGAGTGGCGAAATAATGGAAGCGTTTCGATACCTCTCGTGCAATCCCCATCGATCACGCGGTCCAAACTAACGGTAAACACAAAAGTAGAACAGAAAAGAATTAACCAATATAGAAAAATTGTTAAACGACGCTAACTGGCCAGTTCTACTTAGAGAAATTTGTTGCGAAAAATATTACCTCGGCCAGAGTTTGAACCTGGACTTCCCTACACTCTAGGCGTCTTACAAGTTCAACTTGAAAAGAATTAAAATAAATATACGTTTCTAATTGATTTATATCTTAAAAAGGACCGAGTTGAAAATTTAGTTAATTAAAATAAATATATTGTAGAACGATTTGGAATTTTCTTTATAGGCAGCTCCTTTGCTGACGTTTCGAGGGAAACGCGAGATACATTAATAAATCGTCTTTAGTGCAAAATTACAGATAAACGTCACCAGGTATTCATCGCCACACGATTTTCACGTGCATCGAAATTCTCACAGTCGAAATGGAAGCGTTTCTTACCTTTTAAAATTTTCGGGATATTACGACACGATTGACAATGGACACGGCCGATCGATTACGACTCACGACAAGAACAGCACCGTCGAGGGACTACGTGTCTCGCTCTTATCAAGGAAAAGCGATCGCGAAACGCGCCAAATCAGGCTGCTCTGAGACGTGATACGCGTTTGGCTTGTCGGACGCGACTGACAGCACCGTGTTGCGCCACGTGGACCCCAACCACCCCTAGAAAAGCTTTACGAGCGCAGAGGGGGTAGAGGATCATGCGCGGTGCTTCGGCTACGTCTGCTTCGAATCAATCTCTTCTACTATATTTCGCTCCGTTCGCTTTGTCTTGCTAATCGTAATTAGCAGTATTTCGTTGCTCCAGGCATCAATGCGAAATTACCATCTAATATTCTCCCTTAATTTAGCCTCGTCACGAGAGGCGATGAGAAGATAAATCTTAAAAGATGCGCGTACACGGAGCCCGCCAACGAAATGGAAAAGAGCGCGGGCCCAGAGGGGGAATGTTAGGGGTGATCTTTTTTTTAAAGAAGATCCGCTAGAACCGTTACGATATCGGGTTTCTCCGCGATGTAATTCAGACTGCAACGGCTTCTTGTCCGATCGTTGGGGGAGGACATAAACATAGCCATTATCCTAATTAGGACTTCGTAAACCCAAGTGGCCAATAACTGTCTGGTGGCCAATAACTACGGCCCTATTACATTTACCTTATATACGAGCAACCAAATAGTTCCAATATCCCAAGAACTCTCTGCTATTATAATATATTTGTATTTTGCACGATTATACGGGACATCTAAGACTGGTAGGCGCGCAGCGTGTTGCGTACGATTCGAATTATTGTTGCATATGAAATGGCCGTTTTTTAAATGAAACTTTCACCAATTGCTTTCAAATGCCGAGTAACTGTTGAATAGTGGACGCCTAGTTGCTCCGCAATATCTCTAACAGAATCTGCAAACAGGGCCATTTCATGTGCAACAACCTAATATATCTCCCTCCCCCCCCAAAAAAAGAGATAACGCTTCTCGCTACTTTTCTCGTTGAGGACAGACGGAACTTCAGACACACGCCAGGCAATGTAACAATTTCGGCTTACTCCGTGCGAGACTTTGTCGAATTATCGATCGCAATCCCTCTGTGCGAGGTGAAACAATAACGTGAGCGTAGCTGAATTACGTGGCGCGCGCGTTCCGGAGATTAATCGTTCCGCTTGTCAGTCTCGACGCGTCAAAACGTACGTCTCTCATAAACCCGGAAACCCGTACGAGCATGTTACGTCTTGGTCCCCGACAATCTCCCCGTTACTTCCTTCTCTCGGCCTTTTGCCGGGTCCCGACGTTCGCAGCACGCCAAGCCCGTAAACTCATCCCGCGTCTCGCCCATCCCGCGAACAGGGGTAGATGGCGGTGCGATGTTTACATTTCAATTATCCAACGTTTCACTCTGCGCCATTATTAGTATTTGCATCATTTAGCAGGCGCAGGAACGTGCCTCAGCACCGACTCGAGCGCTTCGTCTGGTTTCAGAATAGTTAGAGGGAGGTGGATCCGCGGGCGCACGTCGAGGATACGAATCGGTTGGTTATCCAACGATCCGCGCGAACAATTACCCGAGCGTGAAAATGGAACTTGCGCTGAATTTGAATCAGTTATTTACAATCGACACGTTCGAGTGTAAAACAGCGGGGCGGCCGACGGAATCGCAATCGTACGTCGCCGTCGAATGAATTTTCCGAACTTTGCTTTATACCCGACATCGCTACGGCGATCGAAGTAGACAAACGTTTTCGACGAGGGGTAAACCGCTGATGGGCATTGTGGTGTACAGATTTGCGGCATTACTAGGCATTTTTTGCGGGCATTAGTTTGGGCATTAGGCCCTCCTGGGGCATTGTAAAGATAAAATAAGATAAATAAGATAACAAAGATTAAGTAAAGCCCACTGAGCACATTAGTGGGCAATGGTGTACGAGATTTTGGCCAGCGGTTTTTCCCTCGGTTTTCGATAATTGTCAAAATTTTAAGTTTTTCTGTCAAGATCAGCGACTGCCCAATATTGTAACGGCGACAACAGCGCGAAAGCACAACGCGAGATCATCCAATATCCCGCTGGGGCAACTTAAGTTCCACGAACGACCGGAAGAATCTGTAATGGCGGGGAAAGATTGGTTAGTCCGAGAAACTCCAGGGAATATCGGTAAGATAAAAGACACGTTGTTCCCTCTTGTTCCATCGGCGGAAATGGGATCCTCGAAAACTGCCGTTAGCCGTTCTATCAGCGAACTTTACGACGACGTCAATGAGGTCACTATTCTGATATTGACCGGCTCTTTATCTACCGTTTCTATTGGCCCACTGACGAAATAAAACGTTGTCCAGCGTGTCGGCGATCGCCCTAATCTCCGTAACTTAAACGAATAACATCTGATGCGCGATAACATCTGTTTCATCAAGTCGCTGCACGCGATCGATCGATTGGGGCGTCGTATCTCTCTGCTAATTTTCTTTGTCAACTGCATGCCCCAAGTTACTTTTACGTTTTACGCGCAGCAATAAACACGCGCGAAAAATTTTGTCGCAAAGAACCACGCTCCAAAGGTCCGTCGCACATCGGGGAAGGATTCGACCGAAACTGTCGGCCTTCGCTGTCGTGATCCTCGGCGGTGACGCGGCGCAATGACTTCACAAGGATGCAACATTGAATCGCTGTATCATCGACCGCCGCCGTCCCTGAAATTTGAATGGGCAAACTTGTCCCCCTCGTCGGCAGTTCTAGTTAGACGTCTTCCTCCGCAGCTCCACTCGTCTCTACTCAGAGTTCGTGAATATCTGATCATCGAAGAGACGAATCGTCCGCACGGCCATTCAGTGACTGCACTTTGCGCGGTCTGGGGTCTGATAAGACGGCAGTCTGTACCAAAAGGAACATATGGGGAGGACATGTTTACCAACGCTATCTCTGCACAATACAAGAACGAATCTTCCTGCTATTTCGTGATATGAACTGCAATCGCGACTGGAATTGCGACGTACCGTGTCGGCGGCGTCATTTCTTTTAGGTATATAATTTTATGCAATGTTTCTTACAGCAACAATGTAAGATATTTAGCGTTTACATAGCGAGGATTGTATTTGTTTTTTTATCATTTTCAATCATAAATTATTGTATTGATTTTCTACAAAGCCCATTATTTTCCAGATGAGTATTACACGCGTGTGTGTGTGTGCGTGTATCGAAAAATATATATTGAAAACAACCCGTGCAATTTGAGTTGCGATATAACTATTGTTGTACAATTTTATTAATCTAATGGCACAATTTTTCATCTAAAAAAGGCTATGTTTCGGTCAAGTCGGTACGCCCAAAATTATGTGTGCGAAATATTTTTCAAGGACAATAGACCAGACCGCGTTATCACCATTCATCGTGCGATATATATTGCACCGGCGCTCTTTAAACCTTTTAAGTCGGCAACACGCTGTCGTACCGCCAACTGGAATGGAAAGGCTCTTAGCAGGTGCTTTAGGTGGGCGTGTTCAACCACGATATAGTACCTTTTAACCGCGGAAACGGTAGAAAGCACAACACGACCTGTCGACCCCCTTCCTTCTCTTTTTATCCTCACCTCTCCTTTCTTTCATTGCATCGACCACAAGCGAGAAACAAAATTTCCCCCCCGATTCTTTTTATGCTCGCAGCGTGTAATAAATAAATTTCTAAATACGTCTCGGGACAGAGACAATTGCGGTTTACCTCAAAGAGTCGGCGTTCCATTCGCCTTTGCTATGTTCATTGTAGCATTTAGCATTTTTAAGTATCACGTATGCACATACGTGTATCGTGTATCATTTTATAACGTACGTATTATATTTACTTCTTGAATACGTGCCAGCTTAAAAGCCGGAAACATTCCGCGAAAAGTCCAAGAGCGAATCATATCTGGCCGAAAGAAATTCACGAAAAAGTCAGTGCTTTAAATATTACAGCCCCTTTGCTCGAACGAGGGGCCGTCACGTTGGACCCTTCGCGTGCGCACGAGGCGTTCTATCCGCGATGCGCTACGCGCGGAAACCCCGTGGCTAGCCATAAAGAAAATCCGTGACGGGTCTAGCTTCCGGCTTTCCTCCAGAAATGTCCCGTCCTCTTTCGCCACCCCGTACGTCTTTCTCCAAAAAGTATCGCTTCTGGCACCGACCTGCTGCCGTGCCCAGCCCCCTTTGCATACTGAACGTATGTACGTCATCTCCTTCCGCACAGCGGGACGCGAGATACGCCCTTCGATCGGTTTGTCTTCGCTCTCTAACGGCAAAAATCCGCCCTCGGAATAGCCTCGAAAGACATATTCTAAATTTTAATATCGCGATCTACGGCGAGGCGAGCCTCTCCGCGAATCTCCCGCTTGAAGTTTCCTTTCATTTCGGAATTCATAAGAGACAGGCGAATCAGCTCTCGCATTTTTATGGACGTCAAGTTTTGTGGAGCGTCTCTTTAATAGAGCCTACCCGACAGTATTATTATTTTAAGGCACAAGTTGACCGGACCCCGAAGCGGCTGGACTGACAACGTCACGTTATGTGATCGAGGACGGTGCGATTAGTCAAAAGCACACATGTGGTGTCGCGCGCGTTAGCCTTTCGTAAATATTTAATGACACGTTCCCCGGCACTCCCGGCCAATCGGCCAACGAGAAGAACTGGTTCAGCTATGGCGCGGCAGATGAGATAATTATTGGCGATGATCGGTGCCTACTGCGGGACACGATGAATTTGCAATAATCGCTCAAATTGCTGTGTGGGATCAAGAAACCGCTGTGTGGAATCGGGAGGAAAAAACGGGTGGAACAACTGCACTTTGTGGGCTTAATTATACCGGTTTGATTGTCTGGAAATTACCACAATGTTGATTGAACTGCTATTCCGATCGATCAATGTCGCGGCCATAATAAAGAACCGTCGAATAACACCTTAATTTATCAAATAATTACAGAGATTCATATGAAAACTTTCTTGCCTGAGACACGACTGGTTTTTAGCGCTACAGCGCGATTTATTTATACCTTCCTGCCGTTATTACAAAGTAAGAACAATGAGGGAGAGAATAACGCTGCAGTATTTTCCACGATTTGATGAAGAGGACAATATATCGTTTTCGAAACGCGCGAGAGAGAGCAAGTTATTTTAACATTATTGAGTTTTATAATCTTCTTCATTTACCACTTGCAGACACGCATTCACCAACGAAATATGAAACGCCACGAATATATATGATTATATATGACATTATATAGGAATCCATTTGAAATTGAACGTACAAGCAGAACAAATTAATAACACGCATCGCTGTGAGGGTCTACGTATCAATATCCGCTGCAATCCAATTTTACTAATCCATTATTTGTCTGAAATTCAATTACCGAT